GTGGTGCTGAGTTGCTGGCTGGGGCTAAACCACAACAATATGAAAGACAGCATTTCCATTCCCCTTTCATTATTAAGCAAGACAGAACAGTTTCTGTGAGCAGTTCTGAGTCACAGAGCCTGCTGCCGCCTTTGGCAGAAGTATTTTTTTCTTGATTCTAACCTTTTAAGTTCTACACTTGTCGTCTCAATGAAGTATCTCAATTGTTTGTCGGAAAGTAACTTTTCAGCCCTGTACTATATGTAGTGGCTATGGGCCTTTGGCAGAAGTATTTTTTTCTTGATTCTAACCTTTTAAGTTCTACACTTGTCGTCTCAATGAAGTATCTCAATTGTCGGAAAGTAACTTTTCAGCCCTGTACTATATGTAATGGCTATGGTGCATTGTCCTGGCCTCTGTACAAAAGATGTCTCTCTTGATTAAGTCTAGCACATAGTCCTGGTTATTAAACCATTTACTGATAACTTCAGGTGTCACACTGGAGAAATGTACTCTTAGTTCTGTGAGTACCTTTTGATGCATACATACCACGGCTCTTCCTGCCATTTTGAATGCTCTCCCTGGGCCTGTGTGTTATACACACTCTCCTGAGCCATCCTTAGAAATGGATACGTCCAGGCTGTGGGACAGAGGCCATCATGTAGCTGTATGTGGCGGCCATTCAAAATCGGTCTTTTCCCATGATTAGTCTAGTCATGTTGAGACCTTAGCTCCTCAAGAATTGTGGAGGCCCTGTCTTCAGGCGCAGACTCCATGTGCAGAGGCTCTGGTCTGCCCAACCAAGTACAAAATAAGATCCTATATTCTGCCTGTGTTACCAAATTTAATAGATTTGCTCTATTAGCATACACAGGATCCTCTTTTGGCAAGTTAACGGCACAAAGCGATCCCAGGTCACCCACAAAACCACCATCCACAGCTCTATTTAATGATCTTTCAGCTGGTCTCTTGCACTCCTGCAACCAAATCGCAACACTATTCCAGATTAAGTTGCTCTCCTGGACGCTATTTAAATGATCTCCTGGAACCATTATGATGTAGATTGGCACAGAGTTTTTCCTTCTTCAACTGTGGCTGTCATGGTTTTCTTCAAGTTGGGAACACCTGTTTCATAAGGAGAAATATGTAAAACATTGTAATTATTACTGTGAGTGCAAAGCATGGCTTTCTTGACTGATCCATTCTACTTCTGACTTGTTGTAGGTATATGCAAATGGGATTCGTAACATTGATTTACACTTCATAATCCGTAAACTGGCAGCACCTGTAATCTCTGTTCTGTTACTTTCCCTGTGTGTACCATACATCATAGCTTCTGGTGTTGTTCCTTTGTTAGGTATGTATACATTCAGAATACCTGTTTATCATCTGATGGTTTAGAGCAATGTAAATATAGCTGTGGAAATAAAACTTCAAGCTCTAGGTTATTTAAAAAAAAAAACAACAAAAAATTCACTATTCTGCCAGCAAATGTAAATGCTTATGGACTGCTGTGTCATCTTAAAAGTTTGGGGGGTTTTGAGAAATGCAATACACTATTCTGACTGGCTTTCTAATAAACCAAGTGCAGAATGCATCAGGAGTATGGGACAGTATAACATCTAACAGCAGAAATGTAGGTATATAGCTAGTTTGGGAAAGGGATGATTAATTAATTTCTTCTTTGGACAATCAACCATTAATTTTAGTCTCTCTTTAAGAGCTATACTGAGCTGAGGGCATCTTTTCTGACTTGTCCTATTCTAAAGGAAGATTAGAACAGGTGAAAACACTGGTTTTGTTTTGAGGTTTTCATTCAGTATTAAAATAAAATATAAATTTTAAATATAGTTTATTTTTTTCAGACTTTCCTATCTCCTCATAATTGAGGGAAATAATTTTATTAGAAGCAGGGTAGATGGGCTTCTTCACCAATAGTTGTCTTTGTTGCTTGTTAGCTCTGATGTTAACAATATGTTCAAGTCCCATTTTATTCTTCAACCTCTCACGTGAATGCAAACTTTTATAGTGTCAACTTTTTTCTGATAAGATGTATACAGAAGTCAATAAGCAAGAAGAGCTGATAAGCCTAGTTTTTTTTATTGTGGATTTTCACTGTCTTAATGAAAAACTTTCAGCTTCAATGCTTCAGATGAAAAAGAACGGTAGCTGTCATGTTGGATCTCCGAGATAAATGGATGTGTTATTTATTTCACAGCACTTCTACTGAAGTTACAGTATATAACAAAAAGTATAGAAGCAGGTACATAAGCAGAAATGCGTATGTTACTTTAGCAATGTTAGATTATGCGAGGATTGTGTCTTGTTTTGTAGGAGTTACTGCTGAAATGCAAAACCTAGTTCAGCGACGGATTTATCCTTTTCTGCTTATGGTGGTGGTTTTGATGGGAATTCTCTCCTTCCAAGTCCGCCAGTTCAAGCGCCTTTATGAACATATTAAAAATGACAAGTGAGTATATATTGTGGGTTTTTTAATTTTTCCACTTTAAATTGTGATAACTTCAGATTGAATTCAGATTCTTAGGGCTAAAAGGGATTTTAAGAAGCTTTCTAGACAAATGACCCTCTGAGGCAGACCTAAACTGTTCTTGGCAAATGTTTTATCTGTGGTGCAGGTAGGTAAACACAGGAGCAGACTGTCTATAAATAGAAGACCCTCCCCTATATCTAACTTGAATGTGTTTTACCACAAATGAAGCTGATTGCTTGTTGGTCTCCCCCTCTGTAGTCTTGAAGGACAAGTGAAAGTAATAATTATGACATATGTGGAAGTAAAATCACGTCTCAGTCTGCTGCTTACAAAAGCATTTATCCAACCTTTTCTGCATAACTGGTTTTCCTTTCCTTTCTACTCGTTAGTCCAATTAACTTGTTAAAGAATGTTCAGTTGATTTGACAGAGTTTGTCCTTACCAAATTTTGTCCTGTTTTCTGATGTTTCTAGTAATTATTACTCTGTATTACTCACATGCCTGATAAAATATTAATTTGCCAATGTTGATTTTTTTCTGGTTATCCTGCTTAGTTTCTAAGCTTTTTTTTGTGTGTTATCCTTATTACATAATTTTTTGTGTTACCCTAATTATCTTCTGTGTTGGTTATTTAGAAAAATAAGTTTTGGACCCCAGCAACTCATCCTCCTAGGCTTCTTTTGTATTGAAAAGGAATAAATGAGTTTGTTGTGTTCATGCCCTGAGTTACCCTAGAACAGTTCTGCTTTCTGCTGACTACAAAAGGAGTCAAACCTGAAATAAACTTCTTTTGAATCTTACATGTTAGGAACTGACTGATATATTAAGTGTTTGGTGTAAATGTGAAATAAATGGTATCTAGAAATATTAAGAGAGTTGTAACTAAAATTAAACTCTCAGCAGATCAGTTTATATTTTAGCACCTTTTATTTGATCAGCTGATTTAAATCCTGTTTGCCACCTGTCTTCATAACATGTTCTGTAGTATTTGGCCTACTGTAGTATGTATAGCTGGTATTTATATTTACAAATGGGTTTTCAGCTAGATGTTAGTATCTTTGAGGCAGAATGTGGCTCAAATTGCAACTTGCATTAATGTTACAAGTTGCTTTCTTGTGTAAATAAGGCATGTAAACAGTATACAAAGCTGTAAAAATATATTTAAGTGAAAATTACTTTGATACTAAATTATTAAATGTTATAACCATCCTTGTAGACAGGAAGTCTGTACAACTTAGGTTAATGATCTCATTTCAGGAAGTAACCAAACATAGTCAAGCTAGCCAGTAGAGATTTATGGTTTAGAAATATGCTTAATTAAATCCTTCATGTAACAAACTTCAAAAGCATATACAAGTTTTTGTGACATTCTGAAACATACAAAAGAATATATGATGGTTGTTTGGTGATGGTACTGTGAGAAAAGGAGCCGTGGTGAAAAAGTTTCTGAAGGAAGTGGCAGGTTTCAGGGGAAGAATTCACAGGTGTATGTGGCTCTTCTATGTGTTGAACCGGCATACAAATAGGAAGCATGTAAGGAAATTTAGATGGCAAAGTAGGAGTGTGAAACAATGATATAGAGGAAATAAGGAATAATGTGAAAGGTAGGAAAACTGCCAAGCTGATGAGATGGTGACATGTTGAAACAATGTAAAATCTCGCAGCCCTTAGGCTTGGCATAGAGTAGCATTAGCATATTTTCTCTCCCTTTAATAAAGACTGAGCTGCAGTAAAGTTCTTCCTTTACAATATTTACTTTTTTCAACCAGGGTGTTTTTCATTGGATGTATGAGCTGAGCTTCTCTTACCCAATGCATGTTCTGCATTGTGGCAGGTTCTTTTTTGAACTTAGAACCTCATTAGCACTCTCATTTGGGTTTTGTATCTGAGTTGTTGTTCCAGATGTTCAAGTGGGAGTGGCTCAGACAGACACTGCAAAGATGCTCTTAAAAGTATCATCCAGCAAAGGGGCTGGGTATATAAATAATGCAAACACACTTTTTATATTTCATATCTTCATTCAGCTTATGTATGTCTGAATTGCATGACTACTGATGTTAAGGCTGTAAACACAAACCTATAATGCCTGTATTCCATTATGAAATGCCTGCATGTTGAGAAAAAAGATGAGGATGGTTGAAGACTATTAAGGGGGGAGGGATCACTTGTAGACTAACTTATATTGAAATGAGAAAGCTACTTCTGCAGCAAAGGAGATAGTGGATTTTTGTTACAGAATTGTATTAACTCGTGTTATTTTCTCACTGTTTTTACTATAATCCCAGGTACCTTGTTGGGCAACGACTTGTGAATTACGAACGAAAGTCTGGTAAACAAGGCACATCAACAACTCCACCTCAGTCTTCACAAGAATAGATGGTCATGTTAAACGTCTTGACTTTCCCTTTGCCTTTACACATCCTTTTTTCATAGACTCTTCTTCAGTCTTTGGATATCTCTCCCAGTAATACTCTCAGCAGTGTTTTGGCTTCTGTTAGTAGCATCCAGATAGCAGTTAAGACTCTGCTCCTTACCTGCATTTTCTGATGTTATCAATGCTGTCTGAGGTCTGTATATGTGTAAATAGAAGTATCCTGACACCCTAAAAACTTGGATTAAAAAGAATGTGCATTGTACATCTTTAAAAAGTATATTAATTTATTAAATCTAGTTGTCACTTTATTTTGGACTGCTGTTCTGTTGACAATGTGCCACAAAGCAATAGTGCGAAGAGGCAAGATGTTTTTATAAAATTTGGAAATTACTTTATGGTGTTCATAACAGTTCTTATTGTAGTAATATAGTATGATTTTTCATGAGTGGAAAGGCCACACGGAGAATATCAAAAGTAAATAACTGTCTTATAGTCAGCAATGAAGTGGCTGTGGTGAGAACATAATGAACTATGTATCTTGCTGTCAAGTCTTTTTTATTATTTTGTATAACACCAAAGCTGTTGTACATTTTCTATTGCCTGATTGTTTTTCATGTGTCTGAATTTGTAATATTGTACAGTTGCTGTTAAATCAAGAAAATATTTCCTCTTCTGAGAATTCAGATGTACTTGTTGAGGCTCAGCTGGGTTTTTCTGTTTGGTTGGGGGTGGGGGGGAGGTGGCTTTGGGAATCGGGATTTCCTGAATTGACACAGTAAGTAAAAAAATTTACTAAGGCTAGGTGATGGAAGCATTTAAAGGTACCAAGGAAAATTAGATAGGTTCACAACTTAAATTGTAGCCAATTTCTTATCAATAATAGAATTTATCAGGACCTCAAGAGGAGGGATGAACCTTATCTCATGTGTTTGCACAGAAACAAAGAGCATAGTGTAAGCAACATTCTGACCTGGTCCTTAATTAAAGAGCTTGAAATCTTTATTCTGTAAGTTACCAAAGTTGCAAATGGTAGTATGAATTTTATATTGCACAATTACTTAAAAAAAAAAAGACCCAAAGAACCACAACAACAACAAAAAATTTATTTTCTTTCAGAATTGGTCACTGTGAATTTTTATGGGAATAATATTGAGGAAGCGATTCATCACATACCATTTATTGCCTGTGGGGCAAGGAAATACATGTGCTATTAAACAGGCAAGGAAAAGTTAGATTTCTTTGCAAGCACACAGAGAAGAGCCACCAAATCAAGTCTGTGTTATTTCTATATGTAGATAGAGTTCTTTTGCAGTAAAGTTTGGGGGTTTTTTATGTAGATATTTTAAAGAAAATACATAGCGGTATCACAAAGCTTTAAGTAGCATCAAATCACATGCTTAGATTGCAGTATCTTTCCTAGATTAAATGGCGGAAAAGTGAGTATCCATTGCAGTAAACAGAAAATTGATGGAGCACTTAACTTGCTACTCGGTACACTGTCCTTCAGTATTCTGTACTTAACCATATGTGTGTATAATTAATACTTGAGAATCTGGCAGCTGCTTCGAGAGTGTCATCTCCTTTTATTGATGTTGCATCTCTGATCTGGCATGCTTTGAGCTAATGTGGTCCAGGCTGTGATGGTGGTAGTGCATTTCTTGGTGTCTGGACTCACCGTTCTAAGGCAGTCAGCACAAGCCAAATGCGTATGAATCTAGTGGCAGGAGGATTGGGCTGTCACTATGAGAAGGTCAGCAACTACTGTTTTACACAATTACTGTTGTCCTTATGGTCTTGAACCACAAATATTACCCTTTGGAGTGATTTATTAGGAATTTTCCAGTGAGATTAAATCATAGAAAAATAACCAAAATATTTCTCTCTCACTGCTGCTGACTAAATGCTAAATTGAGTATTCACCCCATATGTTTTTGATGTGCATAAATATTGCATTTGACAATTTACAGTGGTGTACATTGTGGGACAGATATTTTCACAAGATTAAATTCACTGGCAACATACATTATTACTTATGCCAAGATTCTGTCTTTGACATGTCTTTCATAAACAGTTCCAAAATGGTCTTGCCACTCAAATATTGCGAGCACTACTGTGCATCATGCAGAATTTGCAGTAGTGTGGTTCTTGTAACTTCGTGGTTTTATCCAGACAAACTGGTCTTAACATTAAAATTTATTAAGAAAAAGCCTTTGTGCTGTTTCTTATTACTGTTATTTTACAAGTCATGACAGAAAAAACTGAATTGGGCCAGTCATGTAATGTGAACTGTAACTATTTGAATGTAGCTTACATTATCTGTATTTGCTCTTTGTTATGGAGAACTGCTTTCAAATCAAACTGTGTGCTTGCTTTTGCACTGCTTTACAGATCCCAGGTGAAATGAAGTTCGTTTCTGAAACTGTCCATTGTGAACTTTTAAAAAATCTCATCTCCTTATCTCCTTATTTTTACATGTGGTTCGGGAAGGAAGATGGAGGTTGTATAGAACAAGAATTAAACAACACTACTTTTTTATTGTTTGAAGTTTTAATAGTTTGCCTTATTGTGCTGTGTGTACTCCTCTGGCATAGAAACTTGATAGTAAGCATGTAAGTTAACTGGCAGTTATTAAGGCTGCTGATGAGCTCTGTACCAGTGGCTGCCATCTGAGCTAGAGTAATACAGCATGCAGCGGTCTTGTATTACTCTTCAAGGGGGAAAAATTCTCTGCATGTGTGTGTGCTTTCACCACAATTTGTGTTGACCTTGGGTCTTGAATGGAGGGGTTGAAGATGCGTACTGGCTTAATTGTATCCCCTTTGTGGTATTGAGTACCTAATGCTGTCAGTCGTCCTACAGGCCTTCATCCAAGAACTGTCGGATGGCTCTGTAGCTATCTTTTGCATACTGGAAGAAGTTAATTGCAGCATGGCTTTGACTGGTTTTACACAGATTATTTTATATTGATTAAAAATAGTTAAAACTCTGTATCCTTTCTCTGACTCCCCCTTCTCCACTGGTTGAAGCCTGAGTTACTTGGTTTTGAGGGCCCTCTGGAACCTGTAACTATTTTCTGTCAGTAACTTCCTCAGTAGGATGCCAGCTCCAACACCAATTACAGTATTCACATCACTTTTCAGCTGAGTGCATTAACTCTTCCCCTCCCCTAAGCCTGAGCAAATGTTGTCTTAAAAATCTGCAGAGCAGCCCCCCTGTTCCTCAGAGAGCTCTGTAAACAGCCCTTTACCTTGCAAAGCACGAATGACAGTGGTTTGTCGGTTCCACTGCCTGGCGTGCTGATCCGTGTCACTTTGCTTCCTCGTACTCCACTGTCTGTCTGCTCGTTTGGATTGGAAATTCTTCCTGGCAGGGTCCGTGTTCTTGTTCTGCATGCCTTGTGAATGGGCACCGTGCAGCCTGAGCAGTGGGTGGGGTTCTTGGCAGAAATGATGATACAGACAATAAAAACATTAAACAGGGAGCTGAATCTTGGTAGTATAATGAAGTTCAGGATGCAAAAAAAAAGGAAGCTGTCTTCTGAAATGGATAAGGAAACAACTTTTACAAAGCATAATGGTAAGTTAGAGCTCTCTTACTCTGATATTTCAGTTCTTAATTAGATTAACTGGAACTAAAGAATTGCATAGTTAAGAGCAATTGTATTAAATCTATCATTATCCCCAAGAAGCTGTGCTTCTGGTTTTAATTTCTTCATTTAGAAGTCACCATAAATTGAGAAATGATATACTGAAGCCAAATTTACTCAATAGTGGAAAGTTTTAGAAGATGGTATTTCCAAAGGTCAAATACTATTCCGAAATAAACTGCATGTTTTTAATTCAATATAATACTGAGGAATGAAGCAATGACAGAAGATTACTTCACAACCCTGCACACCAGTTTTGCTGCTTAGTGCTTGCTGTTATCTCTTGCTTGCTGAGTGGTGGCCGATGCCAAAGCTGCACAGGCACCTTCCCCCCCTGTATAAGGAGAAACCAAACATATCTGGAGTTGTCTGACATCAGGTTGGGGGGGGGCGCTTAACCTTACTTGTCTGATTTGTATTAAATCACTTGGCTTTCAAGGAGTGTTTCTGTTCCTGGAAAACGACACTAGTTTTACCTAGAGAGAAGAGACTTCCTTGTTGCTTCCAAAAACAGAGAACACTGCAAAGCTCATTATTTATTTATATTGAATAGGATTTTATGTATTAGAACCTAGAGAGAGCAAAGATCTGCATCGGTGTGCC